CTGTCCTACCGATTTGATCTGAAACTGTCTCATTGCTATTTGTTTATCAATAAAATTATGGCAAATAATATATATATCATCATTGTTTAAAAAAAAAAAAAAAAGATAAGGATACTGAAACAGGTGAAAAAGCGCCCTGGGGATTTTGTCTTCGCTTAGAATGTCACTCAGGAAAACTGCAAGGGCAGGACAGGGAACTGCTCCTTCCATTTTCTGCTTACAGCAGCTAAACAAGTAGGAATCATCCCACATGTTTAGTCCAAATTTTCACTTCCTGAGATCAGGAAAATTAAAAAAATACAATCCCATTTGGGGTGGAAGAGCACCAAATAGACAGGTACTCTCACTGCACTTGTTTCAGGACAGCAAATATAATGAAAACCATCTCACACTAAAACCCATATTCATACACTGGAATCGTAAAGCTAACTCAAGTAACATGGAAAAGCAACCAGATAACCAGAGGACCTCTGAGAGGCTGAGGAACTGACGGTCCTAGGCACTTTGGAGGCCAGACTTGAACTAAGAAGAGAGGACCGGTGAAGTATGCTTTGGAAGTGGGAGCCCAAGGTCCAGCTACACGGTGGGCACCAGACAAAAGATTTGCTCATTAGGAGAGTGAGTTCAGGCTGGGGGTGCCACAACAGTGTAGGAACACATGTCAGGGGGAAGCATCTGTCCCAAACACTGAGCTTCCCCAGAACTTTCTTCCACGTTAAGATACTAAGACTTAAACTTGTGTCTTGTACACAGAAACCAGTTCGTTCTCTGGGGAATCAACCTAGGTCTAGGAGAAAATAAAACAAAACTAAAAAAGCTGCCCATGGGTGTTTGGAAGGCCTACTCTTCCACAGCAGAAGAGAAGCAAGGCAGAGCCAGGTGAGGCCATGCCCTAATATAAGATGAGACAAAATCAGATGCATAAAAAGGAGGCCTTTTAATAAGCCTGGATCAGACTACTTAGGGAGATAAAAATTTCAAAAGACACATTAGAGTGATGAGAAAAAATATGTCCAAGAGAGGACAGAAACCAGCGAAAAAAAGAAGTCCCTTAGAAATGAAAAATATGTCACACATTAAAAAGAAAAACCCATATAAGGGATGGCCGGCAGATAAAACTGTAGTCAACAAGCTGTCAAAAAACAAAGACAGATGAAAGGTTGCTCTCTGCCATGTGCCAGGCTGCCTTGGAGTCAGCTGAGTATGGACTGAAACCTCCAGTAAGTGTGAGCTAAATAAATCTTTCCTTCCTTCAATTTGGGTGTCGGGTATTGGTCCCAGCAACAAGAGAAGAGCAACTAAAACAGAATTTGACACCGCAGGAGTAGGGTCATTGCTGTGGCTCAACCTGACCATGTGGATTACAAAATTTGGGAATGGCTTGGAAGAGACAGAAAAGATTCAGAGAGGTCGGCTACAAGTGAAGCGCTGGAACAGCTTTGGCTGTTACGGGTGTGGGATATTCTGGTCAGAGCTCAGAAGACCAGAAGACTGTCCCGAAGCCTGCCTGTAAAGACCAGGCTGGACAGGTTTCTGCTGGGAAGAAGGACTGCATTGGCTATTGGACTCCAGATTACTTGTGTTTTGACTTGGCAGAAAAGTAGTCTGCATTTTGCTCATGTCCAGGGACTTTGCCTGAGACTGAGTTTAAGCATGGCGGACTGGTCAATCTTTCAAAAGGTATTTCAAAGCAGCCAAATATCGGGGCAGTGGTCTGGATGTTGCTAGAGGCTTTTAGACAGATTTATGTTGAGAATGAAGAGCAAGAAGCCCAGCAGGATGGGTCAAAATGTGAGTCTGGCCAGAAAGGAAGCCCCAAGAAAGCTGTGGACTGCAAAGATGGATCTGAGAAACTCTCCACTACCAGGAAGGAACCTGAGAAGGGAAAGGATGGCCTGAGGGCGTCACAGGAGGAGGCAGGTCTCCACCCTCTGCAGCCTCAGAACTGCAAAGGTCAGAGACTTTGCCTTGAGGAGAAAGCAGCTGATCCTCACATTCCAGAATGACAGCAGGGGCCACACCAGGTTCTAGAATGGCGCCAAAATGAAGAAATTATTCCTTATCAGGGTGAGAGTGCTCAGCCATCCAAGCTCTCGACCCCTACAGCCAAGAGAGAAGGAAGCCCGGCCACTGCTGCAGCTGACAGCAGACACTGGCATCATCCATGTGGCAATGGTTTTAGGCACTTGTAGAATGCAGGAGTTCTGAGGTTCAGAAGGCTTCCACCTCAATTTCAGAAGAAGGCCTGGGAGGCCAGGCAGTGTGCCCCTGAGAGGACAGTGTGTGAAGAAGCTGTGAGTGAGAAGCCTATTCAGTGGAAACCCCAGAAGTTCCTGGAAAAGCCAGGAACGTGGATCATCTAAGGGAACCTGCAAGGAGGGAGCAAAGCCAGCCTAAGAGAGAAGCCACAGGAGCGACAAACACGAGTGCTGTACTGGTGGAGCCATGTAAGGACTTTGGAGCTCACAACTCATCACCGATTGCTTCGGATGTCCCACATGGAACTGCAGGTCTTAATGTTTGCCCTGCTGGATTTCGGACTTGTGTTGGTCCCAATGCTTGGTATTCTGCTGTGTGTACCTTTTGGAATGGTATCGTTTATCTTGTGCCTTTGAATGTTGCAAGTGTTTAAGTTTCCATTTGTACAGAGGCTCACAGTTGAGAGTTTGGCTTGGATCTTGGAGGAGACTTGGGACTTGGACTTTTCAGCAATGCTGAAACTGTTGGGACTCTGGCAACTTTTAGAGATGGACTAGAATGGCTTTTGCATTAAGGGAAGTACATGAGTCTTTGGGGGTCCAGGGGCGGAATGTTATGGTTTGTGTCTAGCTGTCCCCCCAAAGTCTCATGCAATCAAGGGGCAGCTTCTAGAGTCTGTGATTGATTACTATGGGTGTGGGTGCTGCCCCTGCCCTGGGGCAGGTAATTTGCATTACAATGGAAGGTGGAAAAAAGCTAGAGGATCTGAACTGCTGCTAACCCTCCTTTCGTGCCCTCTTGCTCTTTGCCACCACCATGAAAGGTTGTTCTCTGCTATGTGCCAGGCTGTGTTGGAGCCAACTGAGTATGGACTAAAACCTCCAGTAACTGAGCTAAGTAAACCTTTTCTTCCTTCATAAAAAATAAATAAACAAAGACAGAAAAAAGATGTAGGAAGGTAAGAAAATAAGCAAGACAAGAAAGAAACAATACAAGGAAGATATTAAACAATTCATGAGATTTCCCCCAAATTAAAAGATGTGAAATTTTATGTTAGAAAAAGAATCCAACAAATATTCAGGGTAAGCTGTAAGAAATCAATTCTAAGACATGATGCCATGAAATGTAGAACAGCAGGGACAAGAGAGGATCCTAACGGGTTCCACAGGGAACCAGCAAAGCCTAAGAATCATGAATCTAGGCACCCTCAGAGCTGCACAGGAACCCAGATGTGGCAGAGAAACTCCTCTCTAAACCCTAAAGAAAAACTATTCCAATATCGAATCCAATTCCCATTGCAAAGAGGACAGATACAGCGCTCAGCCAAGCTCAGGAGCTGCCTCAGGGACAAAGGTTTCAAGCTACCTTGAGGGGCAGGGAGGAGTGGACAGGGAAGGAGGAAGGGCAAGGCAGGAAGGCATCTCGCCACCAGGCAGACCCCTGGACACTTCTCAGGAGCCAGGCGGTGGGCCTGGGGCCCTCTCTTCTCCCTGATTCCTGGCTCTATCAGTCTCACCTGTCTCAAGGCCAAGCTGGTAAAGTTCCAAGTCCAGGGACCTGATAGAAAGTCAGCGTAAGAGTACCTGTTGCCTTCGAATGAGGAAAAAACTCATTTTACACCGTTAAATTATTTTTCCTCCTTGGTGAGACTAAGTGCCCAACACCCAAAGAAAAAGGAGGAAAGGTTTATTTTAGCTCAGTGAATGTAGAGGTTTCAGTCCAGGCTTGAAGGCAGGGTGGCATGGAAGAGGGGACACGGTAGAGGAGAAACTATCTGCAGCAGGCAGAAGGTATCAAAAGCAAGCCAGACAGCAGCTACAGTCACTGACTTCATCTCTTTCTCTCCCGTATAGCATGGCCAGGTGGGCTGCCAGTAGGGCAGGTATCGCTTGCACCCTTAATCCCAGCATTGCACCACCAGTCACACACCCTAGATTCAGCCACCTCTGAAAAAGCCCCCCCCACCCCCGACTGCACAAGGCTTTGGGGGACATCTAGGAACAGCCATAACATACAAAAGATGTTTTCATCTTTGGATGTCTATTTAAAAAAAAAGATAAAAACTCCCCTACATTCTTTCTCTTTAGAAAAGATGTTCACCAAAATGAGGAATTTGAAAAAAATGATGATACAGAATTCAGCAAACAGGATGTGTACCACAGAAACAGAAAGGCAGTCCTGGGATGACACAAATGAAGATGCAGAGGTGACCACAGGGAACAATTCTGCAGATTATAGAGACCGAAGCCACTCACAGGCCAGCAGGAAGAAGGCAGACACAGACAAGTGCCACTCCAGCCTTTCTTTTGATTGTGAAAACCAACAAACATTCTATCAAGGAAGTGGGGCTTCATCCAACCTGATATTTAGACATATTAACAGGAGGAAGCATCTCACCATGGGTGGAGCATCATAAACACAGGATGTAAATAAGCATAGACATGCTAGGGGACTGTGCACCATGTGGCATGGCTGAAATACAGAAAAACAGAGGAAATTTTACAAAGGTATCCTAACAAACATACAGAGCCAGATCACAGATTCCCCTTGAGCATCAAGCTAGGCATTTGGGGTTTCTTAGGAGTTATCAGAAGATGAAAGGGTGGCCCCAGGAGGTGGCAGTGGTCCAAGAAGGAGCTGTCCTACCTGAAGCAGATGCTGACACTGACAGAGTAGAGGAGGGAGACGATCACAGACACTGTGTGCTTAGACCAAGGATTCCTTTCTACTTAATCAAATGGGACTTTTGAAGACACACCTATCCATTCACAGAGGTCATCTGGGCAGCGTCCAGGCATTACCTGTGGATTTGTTGGATGCTCTCCTCCTAATTTCGGTCACCATTAGTCTTGAGACTTGTGTCGTGAACTGTAGTAGATCAGAAAATTTTTCTGTCATTGTGTTTGGTGGAGCATTTCCAAAAACCTGTAGATGAGAGAGGACATTGCTAAAGAAATACTGCGAAATCCCCCTTTTTAATTGTATGAATTTCAAACTGAGGCATAAATTGAAAATCAAGTTAAATAAATACAGGTACACAGCTACTTTGGGTGTGATTACATTTAAATGCATCTCTTTTAACAAATCACATCTAGCCATATTTTCTTAACATATTAAAAATAACTACTGAATGTATGACACAAAGGCCAAAAACACTAGCTATAATACCTACCGGAATTAGAAAACACAACCATTTTCTGAGGAAATCTCAATCAAGGACATAGGGAAGCAGGGAGTCCTGAAAAGCCAGATTTGAAAAGCAGAGACTGCCCTCCTGCAGCGTGATGCGTCCAACAGATAAAGCTCGCCTTATCTTGTACCTCAGTTTTTCTAAATTCTACCCCTAATAATTTGTAAGACAAGACTATTATGAAAAAGACAAAGTGAATACATGGCTCAAAAAATGGATTTCTTTTCACAAAAACGTTAAGACAAACTTCAGAATAAATCATTCTTAAAAGTAAAGGTGTACGGGAAGATGAGAGTAACAAAACGCCTCCCTGGTGTACTGTCGCAGGAACAGAACTCGCACAGGAATAGCGCTGCACCTAGATATGCCTTGAAACAGTGCTTTGAAAACTGTTCTGTAGAGTTGTAAGAAAACTCTTCATCTTCTCGGGCTACTATCACAATTACCATTACAACAGAGGATTCACATTTACTATCATTTCAGTGTCACTATTATAATTTATTCATTCTAGGATTCCTTCCCAAGATAAACCAAGCCCTGTTCCCCATATGTTGTTGCTTGTTCCTTTGTGTCCTGTCCCCACAATCACTTTCTACAGAATATTCAGGAAACACTGAAGGAGATCATGAACACAAAGTTGAGACAGAAAGTAAACAAGCAAGTAAAAACCTCAGGTGAAGGGGGTAGACTGGGAGAGATGGTTATTATCCTCATTTTACAGATAAGAAAATTCAGAGAGAGAGAGAAGTTAACTTTTTTTGAGCCAGGAGGTGTTAAAGGCACAATTTGAAACACGCACCCGGTGATCCAAAGCCAGATCTCTCAGTTTCATTATTTTCTCAAACTCTGCATAATGCCATCATGGTAAGTCTGCCCAACATTCCTTTAGAGGGAATCCGCGCAGCTTGACTTGTCTTTAATAGGGTCATTTTATCATCAGGTATTTTGGTTTTATTTTCTGGTTCTGCCTTGTTTCATTTTCCTATGGGGGACACCAAACCCAGTCCTTTCTCTTGCTAGGCAAGTGTTCTGTGTCCCCAGCCCTCTTTAAGGAGCCATTTCTAATGTCTACCCAAATAAATTTCAGGGATTGTTCTGGTACTTCTCCCCCCTAAATATTCTGGGAAGAACAAATTAATGCCATTACATAATCACATGCATGAAGTACAGGCTGGATATACACTTGTTATTAAATGATGCTAGCCAATACACATTTATTAGGCATTTTCTAGAGTAGAATTTTTGTAAATATATATAATATCTAAAATTAAGTTGCAGAGTACTGGCTATCATTAGTCCTCAAATAATTTGCTATAAGAAAGTGAAAATAATTAACAATGAAGATGTGATTACATTATTTTATGCTGATGATCAGCTAAGACGTCTCATCATTACTATAAATGATGAGGAACATTTCCACCTTTCGCTGTTTGTGCTTACTTCTGACTAAGGGAGAAGCAGCAGCTACTCCCAGCCCACCACTTCCTTCCCAGCTGTGTCTGCCTTGTGACCCAGGCATACTCAAGGCTCCGGGTGTGGCCTGCAATGCTCAGCGTGGCCAGAGGCTGGGGCAGTGGACATGACTACAGCAGGACGGCCCAGCAAGCCCTTTGTTACACAGCTCCAACCACATTCCCCCTCCCCCTCCACTGGAATTACATAAGAAGCAATAACTCAGCCACAAAATGGTTCCTCCACCAGATTCAGTCTCTCACTTCTTTGGTTCTATACTTGGGTGTCTTCCTTTAAAAGCCAACAATTTAAAAATAAAGGTCATCTGAAAGACACTTGAAAAGGACAGTGTATTAAGCTTAGATGCTTTTCAAATATAAAGTGGAAATAAATAAAAAAAGAGGAATTTCTTATAAAATACCCAGTTTAAAGGTTAAATTTTTAAGACATTTTTAAATACATAATGAAGTATGATAACATATTCCCAGGTAATTATAAATAGCAGTTAATGAATTTTTAGAAAACTGAAAGGCTGTTCATTTTAAATAAGTTTAAGCCAAGTATTTTCTCTGTAGACTTTTGTTCTTGGGACTAAAGGTTAATTATTTTGTAGAATGCTGAATAAATAATACTGTGCTATTCTCAGACTCCACAGTAATCTTTTGGTTTGTGAGAATCAGTGCACAGGAGGGGACAGCAGCCTCCTTGTAGGACTGTGAAGAAGGCCACAGGAGGCATTTTAGGACCCCAGCATGAACCCAGTCCTGCAGAAGCACGTAGCACACGCCATTTCCAACTCAGCTCTCTGAAAGCCAACCACACCACTTGTGCCCACTCTGCCGAGTGTTCTTCAAGAACTATGTCTGGCAGGACTGTGGTTTGTTCACTGGCACAAATCAAGCCACATCCAAAAGCTCAACACAACACCTCATTTTTAGCAATCCTGGTCGGCACTAGTGGTTTGGAGCCACATGAAGCCCTCTGGGCAGCCAACATTCTTCCTGCTGTGGAGACGTTCACCCACAGGGGCCCAACAGCAGCAGGTGGACACAGCCACGTCCTTCTAGTGGAGCAGATGCCACTGCACTGGTGGCACTGATCATTTTCATTCATTAGTGCTCACCCAGAGGGTATAATTTATGCAAGACTAGGTGGGCACAGTGGTACAGAAAGAGCTTTTATCTTTTCCTCAGTTGAAAGTTTACTGAACTTGACTTAGGGGTGCAGCTCAGTGGTCGAGTACTCATTGCACAGGAGGCCCTGGCTTCTGCTCCCAGGGCTGCCCAGACAAGCAGACCTGAGAACAAATCCCTTAACTTCTTTAAACACTTTCACCACCCTGTAAATATTAAGAAATCTAGGAGTAGGAAATTACCTTAACTACTCAGTAGCCTAGAGCAGCATGGCATGGCACTGAAAGACAAAAAGATCAACAAGAGACAAAACCATCTCCAAACTGGTTCCAGTAAAAATGACCTACCTAACAGGCCCCGAAGCAATGTGGCTATACTACAGGCACTTTCCACTACTATTTCAGAAACAGCTACTTGAACCTTTTTCTCACCTCTCCTCATGCCGCCTGCAAAGGCCAGCAGTCCTTAGCACCTTCATTCACACATTTAAAATAATATAGTCTCGGGGCCCTGGGGAGATGGCCCAGTGGAATAAGTGCTTCCCTGGCAAGCACAAAGGCCTGAGTTCAATCCCCAGTTCCGCAAAAAAATAAAATAATACAGTCTCAAAACCCCGGGCAAATACAACAGCAGCAATGTTCTCCAGCCCTCAATACTAATCAGTTCTTTCACAGAACAGCTTTTGTTTGATTCTTTTTGTTTTTCTCCCATTCCCTTGTAACATTCACTAATTTCCTTGAATCTCCTGCTCACCCTACTTACCTCAGACTCTGAGGGGGAGGGGGTAAAGCCGATTGCACAGGTAGCCCTGAGCTACATCTGCAGCCCTCTTAGGATCCTTTGAGATCTCCATCTCAGCCACGCGAGCATCTGGGATGCAGGCATGCGTGCACTTCAGTCTCTTGGCAGGCCACATCTCCATGCATGCATGAGCACAGAAAGCCAAACTCATGAAACACGAGCTCCTTTGACACCGAGCATCACTCAAGTCTCTCCTCACACTGGGGGGTGTGCTTTCCTACAGGAGGCACTGACTGCCAGTTTCCTGTCTGAGGTTCATCCCTCCAACCTGCAATTTGACTCCAACCTTTTCTTCCCTCAAGCTAATTCCACCCTTTCCTGAAACTTTCCGTGTTCCTCTTCCCTGCTACCCTCTCCTTAGGCATATGCCTGGTTCTCATCCACCTTCAAAACTAAGCAAAATATAGTAAGCACACAACAAGCACCATCACTGCCAAGCTCGCTGGTTGTCACCTAGCTCATGGCTGAGGCCAGGCCAGTGTGGCCCTTAAGGAGGATCAACTCCTGGGGCTGGGCTAACGTTGGGCTGACCCTGCCTCACTCAAGTGGAGAGGATGTCAGCTGGAGGGAGACAGGGCTCTCTGCGTCCAGGCCACTCCATGCGCCTGCCCTTTTTTCTCCCCCCACTAACACAAGTTCGGGTCCTCACCAGGACAAAAAACAGGTGTTCATTTAATAATGAAGACTCAACCGCCAGTGTTTTTCATAGTAATATAAAATCAACTAAGATGACCTGACCTTCTCTCCATAAGCCTTGGCTGTGGTTCCTGTGGTTCTCTGCCTGGACATGGCTCACAACTCGCACTGTGTTTACTGCCTTTCTGCCCCTCGATTACTCCTAACTCAACTATTCTCTTGCTGCTGACTTCCAAGCTGATGGATTCCCATGAATACATTACCTTCAGTGTACATGATGGTGTCAACTTCACTTCTTCTAGAAAATCCTATCTCTTGAGTTCTTTAACAGACCCTATCCTGATTTTTTCTGCTCTGGTGCTGATTGCCTCCTATTCTCTATTCTTTATGGGTTTCCCTGCTTTCTTCCAGCATTCATTTTCTTAGCCAGGTATAGTGGCACACACCTATAATCCCAGCTACTTGGGAGGCTGAGGCAGGAAGATCACAAATTTAAGGCCAGGCTGCCCAACACAGTGAGAAGCAATTGCACGACAAAACCAAAGAAAACAAAAGCTGCTCACTCTGCTAGTACACTCACATGGCAGTGTGAACCACAAGTGGTCTTTTGTTCCCTTCCAGGTCACAATGACAACATTTCTGTCACGGCTCATGTGAACTTCCAATTGTGTGCTGACTGCCTCTACCACAGAAGCTCTCATACCCAACACGTATCACAGATCTGCTTCTGAAGCCTTCTACTTCCAGCTGCTGCTTGAAACACTCACCGACTCTCCCACACTGGAGAGACCTGGGAAAGAGCCTGTGTCAGCCTCTCATCTCTGACCCTGCTGCTCCAAGGACATCAGAGGGTCCTCAGCCTGCAGGACAAAGCCAGCTCTAAGTGCCACATCTCTGCTACCATGAGATCTGACAGTCATATTTTTCTCCCTTCTTATATAAAATCAATTTCTAGGATGTGGAATAAAAGATGTTGGCAAATTGCCAGATGCTGCACTTTGTTCAAGCTCACACTGGAACTTCTGCTGGTTTGTTAGTTATGGTGGTCCCATTTATCCCTATGGTGGTTCACAGTTATCTTTTAAGGGCTTGGGAATACAGCACATCTTAAAGAAGACTTCTCCTCCCTGGTCCCCAGAGTCTTAGGTAATAACTACCTTCAAGGGTACCACAGGGCTCACCTAAGAGCAAGAGTGAGAGTGAAAGCGAGTGAGTGAAGGAGAGAGAGAGAGAGAGAGAGAGAGAGAGAGAGAGAGAGAGAGAGTCTGTGTGTCTGTCTGTCTTGGTTTCTTCCAGAGGGTCTTGCTATGTAGTGTGTAGTTCAAACTGGCTTTGAATTTATTATGTAGTCCAGGTTGGCTTTGAGCTCCTGCTGACTCTCCTGCCTCAGCCTCCTGAGTGTTGGGATGACCTCCTTAAGGTAGATATTATTTTACAGACCTGAAAAATTAAGGTGCCTACCCCTTTCCAGGAAGCAGACTCCAGAAGGTTACTCCCTTGAGAGGAAGGATAGAGATTCTAGCACAATTTGAGGAGCAAAGTGCTGACATGTGAAAATTAGAAGTACAGGGAAAGGCTGCCTGCTGCCCAGGACATACCACCTGATTCCCCTTGCCTAGAAAACAAGACTTAAACTGCCAGCCTTGTCTGCCCTGGGAAGACGGCAGGATCCTTCTTTCTGGGACATCAACACACCTACAAGAAATAAGCTAAGGATATTAAAGTTGAGAGGTCTCTCAATTAAGCAACCCACCCAGATTGATCACTTGGAAGCCTCACCTCTGCAGACCTAATGTGCAGCTTAGTCTCAGTGTCTCATTCTTAAGAATCAATACATACACAGTGAGAGAAAAAAGAGCCTGGAATATTTCCTACAGACTAAAGAGTGAGAACAATACAGATTAGGGGTAGCAAATCAGAGACTGTGGGGAGATAGACAGTAGAGAGACAAAGAAAATGGACACAAAGAACAGGCAGAGAGCGCTAGAAACTGGAGGACACAGAGATAGTGAGGATGAAGAGAAATAGAGAAATGAGTGACAGAAAAGGGGAAGAGGGAAAAAGATTAAGGCATAGAAAGAGAATGAAAGTGACAGGAAGATAGAGAAATGGGAAGGGATGGTAAGGAATGAAAATGTAAGTTTTGGCAGTGACCTACATGACCATTAAAAGACTAATAGATAAAGAAAATGGGGTCTTCATGCACAGTAGGGTACTACTCTGCTGTAAGAATGAACATGAATCCTCTGTAGGAAAGTGGATGTACCTTGAAACCATAATGTTGAGTGAAATAAGCAGATACACACACAAGCTTAAACACTACATGATTTGTCTGGTATGAACACAGTATAAATAAAGAGCAAAATGAAAGACAGGAGATAGGGAGCTAGATCTCTCCTAAATGAGAAAGGGAGCAAGAGGCAGAGGGAAGGGCGATTAAGACTCACCAACTCCACACCAGGAGTGCAGACAACGTGCATTAATGAAAGGATAAGTGGGAGAAGGGCACAGGCAGGGCAAGGGTGAGAAGCAGGTGGGAAGACAGAAGAGCCGAGCACAGGGAGTGAGGGAACGGACAGAGGGACAGGATGGAGACGGACACATGCATAGGGAGAAAGACATGCTAAACAAGCAGGAAGTCTCGGAGGGAGAGGGAGCACATTCTGTAACAGTGCACTGTATTGGAAAAGCAGGAGCATGGGTACGACATTTCCACCACAGTCTGGGGAGCGTGAATGCAGACCGCGATGTGCACCGAAAGCACACGTGTGCCAGGGGCAGGAGAGGAGCACGCTAGGCACTGTGAGCACATGTGTGGGCGGCAGTTTGGAGGGACACAAAGCAAAAAGGCCAACTCGTATTTCCCAGCAGGAAATCAATTAAAACGGAATAATCATGAGGCTGCAGCAAAAATGTTATTTAAGATCTTAAGGCGGCAGCAATTAATAGTGGTGCGCAGCAGGGTGGCTACAGGACGAAGGAACCACTTGACTTTTTAAAGCTATGTGCTTACAAACCTATGATCAATACAAAAGTTATTTTAAAAAGCTCTGGTAAGACTGTTACACAGATTCACTGTCAGAAGGTTGATTCTGCATAGATTCTCTACAGCACTGACTCTGCCTTTGCAGAAGAACCACATAAAATCCCTGCAGACAGCAAAGCAAACTGGATGAATTTATAGGATGCAAAGAGCCTGGGCAATCGCCCCACTTGGTACAATCCACACATCCCTGGGGACCAGGAGAACACAGTAACGCAAATGGTCAGGTCCATTCTCTCCTCCCAGACTCAGCCCCCCAGAAGCACCGCACACAAGCCCACACCTCTGAGGCTGTCGGACCAGAAGAGGTCACTACGCAGTTCATCCTGAGCGCCTATAAACCCTGCTCTGTTACCTTAGCAGCAAACCTTCATAAGATGAATGATAACATCAGGCTTTTTAAAAACCAAGGCTGCAGGCCAGGGATATAGCTCAGTGGCACAGCACCTACTTAGCAAACTCAAGGTCCTGAGTCTGATTCTTAGTACTAAAAAAAAAAAAAAAAAAAAAAAATTAAATTTAAAAAATTAAAACCAAGGCATTAAAAACAAAAACAAATACAGAACACCAAACAAGGCACCCAGTTTCTACTGCGACTGCCCCCTGCCCTGGAGGTAACCTGCAGGCAGGCATCCGCCTTCAAGCGCACTCACCCTGTTGAACACCGGCAGCATCATGTACAGCTTCTCCTCCTGCTCCTTCTGGGTCATGTGCCGGGGTGGATGGCACAGCTCTGTGAAGAGCCGGCGGAGGTGCATCAGACCCAAGGCGTTGTCCTGCGGGCTACACTCCTCCTGCCGCGGCCGCCCCATGATCCTCTTCACCATGTTCATCTTGGCTGGTCAGTGAGAAACTTTTCTAATTCTGTGGGAAGATGTCAAAGCAACAGTCAAAATGTCACCATGCTGACGAGGCCAAGTCTCTAGGTAAAAGCTTATCACAACCCTAAAAATGGGAAATTCTGCTGAAAATATTTCCAGTTCTTTCAACAGAAAATTTCAATAGAGCAGTAAAGGTAACAACCTTGGATAAATCTCTCTGAATGATAAATCATGAATCATGGAACTTAAAAGTCTCTCCTGCTTTGCCACAATTTATATAAAATGTAAAATATTAACCGGGCAAGTAACCAATATTTCCAATTAAGTTAACCATGCCAGGTTAAAAAATAAAAGAACCACAGACTTTACTATTAAAATGTTGCTTAATAACTAGGCACATGTAAAAAGAACAGAGAAATAGAAAGTTCTCCCTAACTTCAAAACATACAGCCAAAATTCCCTCAATGTTTTGTATTTTTAGTTGTTTCGCTTTCTAGATGAGAAACTACATTTTGAGTACCAATAAAGAGTGTTGATTTGAAAACATGCAAATTAAATGAAATGGTGATAT